AAGAAGGCGGGGTGCAGGGTCTGTCTCAGGGCTTGGGCAGCTCTCAGGTTGGTGGGGGAAGGGGGCGTGGGCACGATGACTGACACGATAAAGGGCCCTAGTGGTATAGGCCCTGAAAACAAGAGAGGAGGGGAAACGCCACCAAACACGCGGGATCGAAACCACCCAAAGCCCAAGGTTGGTGGGAATCCAGCACCACGGGGGGCCTCCCAGAAGGCCAAGGGAACAGCGTGGGGCCCGAGGGGAGGGGAGAGGAGCCAAGGGAAGGCCTCCCAGCCCTCAAAGACCAGTTTTGCTGACAAGCCGCCTCTGAGCGGCCCGTCTCTCCGAAGCTGAAGCCCACAGGCCCCCGGGGAGGTATTGGTTGCAAGCAAGCACCTGAATATTGCCTAATGGAACCAGCCGAAGCCCAGCCAAATCCAGGTGAGATGGAGCAAGGTCAGGCCTGGTCTCCCACCTGTGGCCCCATTTTCAACGCCCCTTAGCTAGGACAGGGCCTGCAGCTGCGAAGTCAACCATGTCGTCCAATCTCTGCAGGCCAGGGCCTCCTGCGGCCAGCCTCTGGGCTGGACCGAGATCCAAGGATGCTCCTTAGTGTCCACCTGCTGCCTGGACAACCCATCCCCCAACGCCCGGCCACGCCCCCGAGAGGATGAGGCGGGCCCTGCAGGGCTGAGCCTGCGGGGCAGGCCTCCAGGCTGCGAGGAAGGGCCCACTCCGCCAGGCCCGCCTCCTGGTCCGTGAGTTCGAGGCCCCGGTCCCCCCCCGCCCCCCCGCTCAGTCGGTCTTGACGTGGCCGTTGGCCAGGGCCAGGGCCCCGCCGGGTTCCCCTGGCTCGGCGTCCTTGTCGAAGCGCAGGCGGAGCGTGTTGCGGATGATGAACTGCTCCATGATGAGGGCCCCGCAGAACCAGGGCACGGCGTACTCCAGGGTGATGAGGCCCATGAAGTCAAAGTCAAACTGCGAGTAGTCCCAGGGGCAGGCGTCGAACTGGCGCAGGACGAGGCCGGTGCTGAACTCCCACAGGTAGGTCCAGAGCGTGTAGATGAGGCAGCGAAGCAGCAGCGGGCAGCGGCCGCGCAGGCGCAGGTACATGCGCTCCACGATGAGGATGGACGTGCCGTAGATGAAGAGCGCCCACACGCTCGTCACCCCCGGGAACTTCCAGTTCAAGTTCACCACGAACTCCCAGGCCGCCGTGAACATCACCTCGCAGAAGTAGCCGTGGATGGCGTACAGGTACCAGCGCGAC